CCCCAGTGGTACTGCTATGAAAGCTAATTTCGGGACGAAATTCCATCTAACGGGGGGATGATGTGACAACCCGAAAATTTTTGCTTTGAAAGCTCAGTCAGTCAACTCAACTGAGTGTCAGACTCATTTCTAATGAGTTCTAGCCTTGTTAAAGGTCATTCTAAGGAGTTTTAGCCTAGTACACTTAAGGAATAAGTGTTGGGAAGTACCTGCTAGAGACACCGTGCAACATTCGAGCCTTAATCCTCATCAAAAAGGAGTTCACGGCCACCACACTTGAGTTTACGGCCATAAACTCAAGGTGGGCCGTAAACTCCCTCCATATAGGCTCATATCCTTCAACTTTCTTCATTTTCTCACTTTCAAACTCAAGAACTTCCATTTCTCTCTCAAGTATCATCGTATTCTTCACCTTAGATCATCAAAAACGTAAGTGTTCTTCCTTTGATTTGTTGATACATCTCTTTATCTAGTAACACCCTCATGATTCATCCATAAAAACATCCATTTTGACTAGATCTTCAAATCTTTAAGTTTCACCAAGAACACCAAGAACACACACTAGTGTTCTTGGCCAAAATCAGCCCTTTCAAGCCTCTATATCGTAAGTACTCTCTCCTTAACTTGTTATCTAGTTGAAACACCTGATTAGAGCCTTGAAAGCATCAAGAATGCAAGGACAAAAGGAGTTTACGGCCAAGCAATCCACATTGACCGTAAACCCCTATAAGTATGCCATTTTGGCCATAAACCCTTCCTAAGTCCAAGCCTTTGACCTTGAACCCTTAATGGATGTTGTAGGACCTTAAAACACACACTTTGGCATGATTGACCATGAGTTTATGGCCGTAAACTCCCTTGGCCGTAAACTCATGGCCGTAAACTCCATGGGTGGCTGTGAACTCTCCCTTGATCAATCACATGTGATTCAACACTTCATCCCAAGTGTTTCCTAGTCCCGTGAGGTGTTTCCTTGCATTTGGTTGCCTCTAAACGCTATGTTTAAGTCAATATATGCCATTATATGTCATTTAGGACTCGTTAACTCTCGGGACTTCATTCGTGGAGCTTCTCATCCTTATACGCATATTCGTGTGAATCGCCCACATCAGGTGAGTTCATACCCCGTAATCGATCTTTTAAATTTTTTTAAATGCTTTTAGGGGGGGAGGGGAATATAAGTTGAACACAATGATAATTGTGTAAATGTTTGGTATAGACATCTTTCAAAAGATTACTTATGTCTTTTATAAGTGATCAAAACATTTCAAAAACTCTTTTAAAGTTATGTTACTTCATAGTTTAACAAAACTCCGTTTTTAAAGTACAACCATAACTTAGTAGATAAATGAGTCTTTTCAATAACAGTTCAAGTAAAACATTAGTAAACTATAATAGGTATAGTTTAGGAAGTTACTATTCACTAGTTCTAGTACAATGAAACATCCAAAGAGTCAGTTCATACAAGAGTCAATACATACTATAACGAGAAACAGATAGAGAACATACTATGATGAGAAACAAACAGAACATACTAGACAGAGAGAACATACATTACACTAGTACATACAATACATACAAGAATACTATAACATAATGTGAGCCACGGTTTCGGGGCATGGCATCACCTGTCATGGATCGATTTGTAGCCAGAATCTCCTTGAGGGTGAGCGTTGAATTTGTGTATAGATCTATACTGGATTGACTATCCTACACCTTGTTGCTCGCTACAGTGGGACTTGCAAGTCTACGGGTGCCAAATGTCATTACTTCCAACGTCTTTCATCGTCGTGTTTTTAGTCAATAGCATGGTACAATCATAGCACATTATACCTTAATTAACAATTGGATTAAGGTAGTTGGTACAGCAGTAGTTACTTAATTCAACACTACAGTACTATTTTATTCCCCCATTGCATTCACATTGTGATCTTCTCACAATGAGCAGTAATGTAAAAACTATATTTTTGATTAATGATAGTCTCATTAGGGAAAATACACACTCATACAAGAAACAAACATACATAACATTTGATGCCTTGGTAGAAGGCTACGTTTAGTAGAAAGGACCATAATGCTAACATTATGATTCCTTAATGTATACATCAAAGGATGTATATATATCAATAGGATCCAACAGGTAATAGGATGTGTGCTCTCCGCTTTATCTCCTGTTCCTTGTTTGGTTGTGGACTTGGAACGGATTCACCCAGCCTATTATCTATTCGATTTTAGATATATATATATATATATATATATATATATATATATATATATATATATATATATATGTTCAGTGTACATTAAGTCATCATAAGGGTACGAGGTATGGGTCAAGTCATAGGACACAAAGTCAATGCACAGTTTTCTAGTACAAAACATACTTTCCAAATCAGAACTTTTGGTATACAAAACTAGAAACTTACCAGTTAAGGGTTTAATCAATGTTATTAAACCAGTATAAACTTAAAGGACCTTAGGTGATTAACTCTATAATACCTTAACTTATACATCATGGTGATATATCATTAATACCCAATAGGTAGTTGGATGTGTGCTTTCCGCCTTACTTCCTGTTCCTTGTTTGGTTGTGGGCTTAGGGCAGATTCACCCAATTAACTATCTATTCGATATTAGATCATATATAGCCAGTATAAACTAAGTGATCATAGAAGTAATCCTTGTGGTCACCGTTTTATTATAAGAAATAAGGGTTTTCTTAAAAGAATCTTTTCATCAAATATAAATGAACCATTACAATTAACTCCATGAGTAACAAGTGAATACACCAGGGTTATATACAACAATGACCTAACAAACAATGGGATGTGTGCTATCCGCCACACTTCCTGTTCCTTGTTTGGTTGTGGGCTTAGGGCAGATGCGCACGGTCGATTGTTTGTTTACTCTGAGTTTTATACAACTTGTATTCATTTAGTACTCACAGAACGGATTGTAGAATCATTTTTAACTATCTTTCATCAAAGTAGGAAATATAGGATTTTCTAAGAGGAACAGGCGAACTTTTTCTAAACAGAACTTACAACTTACAACATTTTACAACAACTTTCTACAACTTACTTACATCACTAAAATCTTATGAACTCACCAGCTTAATTGCTAATCAACTCTTTCAAACAACTTGTATTCTCAGGAGCCTAGTAGACAGGTACTCGCGCTGGGAATTTAGAAAATGGAGCATAATAGCTTCAAGCCATGTTTTTTTAATTTGCTTATGTAGTCTATGTTTTGTGAACACACACATTGTAAACACTTTCTTTCTAATGAAATGGTTGTTCATTACTTTGATTACTATGATGCATGTCTTGTGATACTAAACATGACGTCCTCCACCCCCGAACGTTTCCGCCGTTCCGGTTTTGGGGTGTGACACGAACCCTGGGGACTATGTCACCCCCTGCTACCACTACCACATATATCATAACATAACATACAGGCATATCTCGAGTGCCCGACCTACCTTTCGGTCCTAGCAACTGAACGTGGGGACTATTCCCTCCCTACTACCCCGATCACACATAAAGCATAACATGCTAGCACATAAACATATTAGGTAGTAGCAAACCTAGATGAATATCACAAAGACAATCACCTAACATACAACTCCTACTAGAAGGTAACTCACCTCGATGTCGTGCAGTATCTGCACGGTCATCGGCACGGGAATCGACTCATCTCTACTCCCCAATCCTTACACAACAACCTTTTCTGATTACTATTGCATACTTACAACCCCTACAAGGGTCAATCCAAATCCAAGTCAAAGTCAAGGTCAAACCCTGGTCAAAGTCAACATCCAGTTGACTTGACTCGCCGAGTTGGTCCACCAACTCATCGAGTCCCTATCCTTTCAAAATGATACAACCCCCGACTCTACTCGTCGAGTCTAGCAAGAACTCGACGGGTCCTTCTTCAAACATAATATCGGGACCATCTTCAATCGACTCGCAGAGTTCCCTTTGAACTCATCGAGTTCATCTCCCCCAAACGAACGTGTTCAGTCTATGACTCACCGAGTTGTATGAACAACTCATCGAGTCCATCTTCATGAGTTGGGAGATTGGCTTGGACTCTCCGAGTCTGTTCATACACTCGCCGAGTCCTATGATTTCCAGGTCCAAGACAAACCCATAGCAGGCTGAGTGTTCCTTCCACTCAATCTAAACCATTTCCAGGAGTCGTTTTTGGGGAAAAAGCGTCCCGACTCGCCGAGTCCCTCTTTGTCCAACACTATACAGTCGATTATAATGGGTCTTAACGCGTCAAAACCATAGATCTGGCCTCCTAGGGTCCATTTTATACGTAAAGCTACGAACTTGATGTCCATACATGAGGTTTTTGGCTCAGAAGGCTATAAAATGGGGTTTATAAGATCCATGGGCTTCCCATGGCCATAAAGTTGGCACCTTTATGCCATGGGAACCCTCAATGGTTCCAGATCTGAAGCTAAGACTACACAATATGATCCAAACCCAAAGGTGACTTAAAATGTCCCAAAAATGGCAAGATCCAAGTCTTATAGGAGATCTATCAAATGATAAGTCAAGGTTCAAGCTTTTTACCTTGAATGAACTAGAAATGGAGCAAAATCTCTGGACCCACTTGCTTCTTCAAGAACTCCCAAGCTTCCACTTCTTCCTTCAACTTCAAACACACATACAAAAGGCACCAAAAGGCTCAAGAACACACAATAAGGGCTAGGGTTTTGAGTTAGGGTATTTTGGAAGTGAGAGGGACGATGGAGGCTGGTTTGGGACGAGTTAAGTTGTTTAAATAGGGTGCAAACCCTAAATATTAGGGTTTTGTCCAGACAGCTCCTACTCGTTGAGTCGGTCTTCTTACTCATCGAGTAGGTCACTTAAACCCCCGATCCAACAGTCGAGTCTACTCGACGAGTTGGCCCCCAACTCGCCGAGACCCAGAGTAAATTGCCATATTTCTTGAATTTAAATACGTACCAAGAATCGGGTGCTACAAATATGTTCTCTAGTAACGAGTGGGAGGAATGCAAATTTTCTGGAACACCTAAAGGAAGAGCATTATATGGAACAGTGACAAGGATTCAATTTTGGGCCAGTGTGACAAAATGTTTAAAAGTGTTTTCCCCTTTGGTGAAAGTCCTTCGAATGGTTGATGCGGATTGGAAGCCCTCAATGGGTTTTGTTTACTGGGAGCTTAAAGTAGCAAAAGAAGAAATTATGAAAGCTTTGGGTGGTAACGAGAAAACTTACAAGCCTATTATAGATATCATAAACCACAAGATGAAAGGTAGGCTAGATTCAAAATTACATTTGACGGCTTATCTTTTGAATCCTTATTATAATTTTAAGGATTCCCAACTCCAACATGATCCCGATGTAATGGATGCAGTTCTTGAATTTTTTGATACATTACTTTGTGGAGATTTTGAGATGCAAAGACAAGTCGTGATGATAGATTTGCCAAAATACAAGGAAAAAGTTGATAGATTCGGAGCGGATCTTGCAATTAAAGGTTGTATGGTGAACAATGCCGACTTTGATCCGGGTAAGGTGCTATATGTTTATTTTAGTAATTTATAAAATAATAGAAGTTTATATCTATCAATTTAATAATGTGTTTTTGCTTTAAAATTATAGCAACATGGTGGGGACTTTTTGGTGGCTCGACTCCTCATTTGAAAAGGATTGCAATGAGGATTCTTTCTTTAACTAGTAGTTCATCGGGTTGTGAAAGGAATTGGAGCACGTTTGAAGCGGTTAGTTATAAAGTTGTAATCTTTAAATATCAAGAACGTTTTTAACCTTTTGTTATGTGTACTTTTATAGGTACATACAAAGAAACATAATAGATTGGAGACAAATAGATTGAACAATCTTGTTAATGTTCAATTCAATGCTAATCTAATGGAAAAAAACAAAAAGAGAAAAGATAGGACTTTGGAAGTGCTTTTAGGAAATGATTCCCACGTAGCTCAAGAATGGATGATAGATGGAGATGACGGCGATTGAGATGAAGTTGACCCCGAATCAGTGATGGAAGCAATTTATGAAGCTCTTTGGAATAATAATAATCAACTACCTTGTAAAAGTTCAACACCGAGAGAACTTTTTGATGAAGATTTCGAATCCGACAATGAGGAGCAAATGTTTGAAGAAGATGAATATGAGTCGGATGGAGTTCAAATAGTGGAAGAACTTGAAGATTAAAAGAATATGGACATTTAAATATATGAAAATGTGTGTTTCTATTATTATTAAACTTATTTTGGACTTGTAATATTACGGATTATGACTTAAATGTTTAAATACTAGTTATGACTTTTTTATGGTCATTTGCTTAGTATATATTTAATTTTTTGTTAATAAATAATGGTCCCCGATTAATCCCCGTCGAGACTGATTAATCCTTTAACCCCGGTCGACCTTCGAGCTACCATCGAGCGATTTCTGCAACGTTGCAATTTTACAATGAAATTTCCAAAATAAACACACACACTAATGCTAAACACACACACACACACAGCCACCCTAGTGGTGGCCGGCTGTGGCACATGGTGGCAGCCACCACCTCACGTTGGTGGTGGTGTCTTTTCCGGCCAAATAAACACCCATACACGACACCCTCTCACTACAGAAATAAACACAAACGACCAAAGCACACACACAACCACCTTTCACGGTGGCTAGTGGCGGCAGATTAGGGTTACATGGTGGTAGCCACCATGGTTGGTTGCCATGGTGGTCTTCTCGCGTTCTTCCAGCCGACAACTCACCCTCGCACCTGCTATGGCGATTGAAACACGCACACACACGATAAAATGGGATGAAGTACGAATCACACACACGAAACACACACACCACCACCACTCTTGTTGTGGTTTGCGGTGACCGGAAAGGATATCATCACAGTTTGATAGCCGTCGGGACGGAGATGGCGACAGACATAAGGGAAATGGTATAAGAACGGGAGAGGAGGAAAGGGTGGGCCATTACCGGAGATGAGAGAGGCACAGCGGCCCCGACGTCGGCCTTGAATCACTTGTCTGGTAGTAGCAAAACATAAGCAGCGGTGCTCAGCTCGCTTGGTGGCTCACTATGGCTTCACGGAGGCGACGATTGGGACGAGGGGTGATAAGGTGGCGGCGGTTTTAGTTTTAGGGTTAGGGTTTTGGGGTCATATGATCCTTAAAAATGTAAGAGAAGGACTACCGGGTTTAAGTCCCGTCCCCATTAAAACTTATGCTATTTTTCCCATTTAGTCCCTCCCTATAAAGTCTTTTTCAAATTAAGCCCAAATTTTACCAAACAGCCCCCATCTTCTAATATCCCTTCAATTTAAGTCCATTATTTTACCATTTAGTCCAGTCCAAACATTTGGCATTCTAATGGCCCAATATCATATAACCATCAAGGCCCAAACTATGGCCCATCTATGGCCCAATTTTCCAAATTGGGCCCAAACCCTCATATGGGCCTTATCCTAAAGCCCATCTAAATATTCTAGTCCATATGATCATTCTTGGATGGCCCATTATTGGCCCAATTACTAAAACCCAATAGAAAGGCCCAACTCAAGGCCCAAGTGAAATTAGGGTTTCACATAAAATGACAATTAAGGTTAACTGTTTCTCACTTAACCCATTAAGTCCATCACTCTACTAGATAAATCATATGGTGTGATTGGGTGTATTTCACAATTCCATTCCAATGGCCCAAATATCGGTCTCGATAAGTCTAAGGCCCATATATCCAAATTAGGGTTTTCTAAACCCTAATTAGGGTTTCTAACCCCTCACAACCCAATTAGGCCCAAAAGCTAAGTCCTTAGGCCCATTAGGGTTTCATCAGGCCCACTAGGGTTTCACAAGTTGGGCACCACCCACTACCACCTCGGGTAGTGGTGGTCAACGGCAGCGGCCACCACCTCACGGTGGTGGTTGGGGTTCTAGTCCAATCGAGTCCAAGCAATCCAAACACAAACTAAGCACACCGTCACCCAACACGGCAGCCGATGGCGGCAAGAGGCGGTAGCCACCACCCTACGGTGGTGGTTTTCAGTTTCTTTTTATTATTCTGACATGATTACAATTTTACAATGAAATTTCCAAAATAAACACACACACTAATTCTAAACACACACACAGCCACCCTAGTGGTGGCTGGCGGTGGGACATGGTGGCAGCCACCACCTCACGGTGGTGGTGGTAGCTTTTCCGGCCAAATAAACACCCATACACGACAACCTCTCACTACAGAAATAAACACAAACGACCAAAGCACACACACAACCACCTTTCACGGTGGCTAGTGGCGTCAGATTATAGGGTAACATGGCGGTAGCCACCATGGTTGGTTGCTATGGTGGACTTCTGGCGTTCTTCCAGCCAGCAACTCACCCTCACACCTGCTAGGGCGATTGAAACACGCACACACATGATAACATGGGCTGAAGTACGAACCACACACATGAAACACACACACCACCACCACTCTTGTTGTGGTTTGTGGTGACCGGAAAGGATATCATCACAGTTTGATAGCCATCGGGACGAAGATGGCGACAAACATGAGGGAAATGGCAGAAGAACGGGAGACGGGGAAAGGGTGCGCCATTACCGGAGACGATAGAGGCACAGCGGCCCCGACGTCGGCCTTGAATCACTTGTCTGGCGGCAGCAAAACATAAGCGATGGTGCTCAGCTCACTTGGTGGCTCACTATGGCTTCACGGAGGCGACGGCTAGGACGAGGGGTGATAAGGTGGCAGAGGTTTCAGTTTTAGGGTTAGGGTTTTAGGATCATATGATCCTTAAAAATGTGAGAGAAGGACTACTGTGTTTATGTCCCGTCCCCATTCAAACTTATGCTATTCTTCCCATTTTAGTCCCTCCCTATAAATTTTTTTTCAAATTAAGCCCAAATTTTACCAAACAACCCCCATCTTCTAATATCACTTCAATTTAAGTCCATTATACCAAACAACCATTGTCTCTGAAATCTTTACAATTCAGCTCCATATGTTACCCCTTTAGCCCCTGCTACCAAGAATCTATTCAATACCAGTCCAATTGATATAATTCAGACTGTAAATACCCGAACTTATAGCGTTTAGCTCTCAAGACTAACACTAATTAAATTATTATGGCTTCAGGGATTCGATAAAATAATATATAAAATACACCTCAGGATTTTAGGGCTTATTATTTATTTATTAACATGGCTATTTATTTATTTAATAGACGGGGTGTTACAACTCTTCCCCACTTAAATTAGATTTCGTCCTCGAAATCATTCCTTACAATTCCTTACACGCCAAACAACTTGAACGTCATGGCCACAATCCCGAGCATAACCAAGCCTTTCCAAGGCATCTAAAACCATCCCTCGCAGGGCTCTAAAACCCGAAGATGAATGAATTCCTTGCGTCATGACCACCTCTACTCCGTCTGAAATCTGTAGTATCGAGGTGGTCCGACTCCCTAACAGACCGTTGATACTTAATCATTATTGTTGAACTCAACCCATTTATCCCTCAACTGACTACTCAAATTCCTATAACTCGAGGTTCCCACAATAAAACAGGATCACAAACCCGATTATCCCTGCAGGTCACTTAGCATAACCCAGGCAATCTGTTACTCTAACCATACATGAAATCTTAAAATACCATTACTGCTTGAGACACTGAAACTGTCTGAAGCACTGAACTGCCTGAGACAATAAACTGCCTGAAACAGGATGGCGGAACCCTAGCTTCCTTCCAAAGTTCACCGATACCTCCCCGGTCTCAATTCGTTTTCCAGTCATCTAAAATGTCGGGTTCCTTCCTGGTTACTAAGCCAAAGGAACCCATACAGTCGCCCTATACTACTTCCGAACGAAATCCTCATCTACCAATAGCTATCCTTAGTTATCTTGCCATTATGGCTCTAACTAGACCTGGCAAAATCAGACACGACACGACAACCCGACACGAACCCGACACGAATTTAGCGGGTT